TCATCCACCTGTACCTGCAGCACCCATGGGGACAGGCGATCAGCTCAGCACAGCACGGTCCCGCTGGTGGCACCTAGCCAGGGAAAGCCTACCTCTCGCTGGGGGTCATCTGGGGTGCGCTGGTACGTCCAGAGGACATGGGCTTGCAGGGATTTGGGGACACACTCCAGGAAAGTGGTGCTGCCCTCCACCCCGTAGAGCTGTTTCTGAGGCACGTTGCCCCGCCAGGGGTCTGGGGGAACACAGCCCAGCCATCAGCCCCCCCACCCCGGCAGGGCTGACCCACCCGACCCGGTCCCGGCTCACCTTCAGAGCAAAGCACATTGGGGTCACCGTTGCGGACATCCTGCCGTCGGAAACGCCTGCGGGAGGGTGACAGAGGAGCAGGGACTGTGGCAGCAGAGCCTGTGCCCCTCTCCCTGGCCTTGGGGCAGGCTGGAGACCCCATTGCCAAGCCTTGGCACCTCACCTACCTTTTGGTGTTCGGCACATATCGGGTGCAGGCGGTGCCATCCCAGGCGCAGTACGGGTCCCGGGCCAGGCAGCACTCAGCACAGGCTTTGCCGTAGGCACTGCAGCGGTGCAGTGGCAGTTGGGCCAGCGCCACAGCCGAGCCGGCATAGAGCTGTTGCTGGGGGGTGAGAGCAGGGCTGAGCACCCCCACGCCGCAGCACAGGGCCAGGCAGAGCCATGGTAAGACACGGGGACCCACCTGGGGCCCCCCCTTACCCGCTTGGAGGAGAGCTGCAGGCTGGTGATGGGGGAGGCATCCTGCGGGCAGAGCATGGGCAGGAGTTAGGGTGTAGGGGGAGACCCAGGCATCCAGGCTGCCGGCAGCTAGAGTGCCCTGGCATGACCTGGGGCATGGGCAGGATAAGGGGGTGCCGGGGCGGGGGTTTGACTGGGGCGGCATGGAGCTCCCCCCTCACCTGGAAGATCTGCAGCTCCTCCAGCAGCAGCGGTTCCATGTGGTGCCAGCTCTCCTTGGGCACTGAGACCACCTTCAGCACCGTGCCCATGTCTGCAGGCAGGGAGGGGTGAGGCCAGATGTCCCGGCCCCAGCATCCCCCAGCTCTCCCCTCAGCCCTTGGCCCCAGGGTCACCACTTGCCTGTGCCG